AAAAAAAACAGAAATTAGTTACACAAAATCTTAATTATCTCCACTTTACAAATAACAAGGTACTTGGTTCTGTTCCATCACAGGAGTATGTTGTTGTCACTTTACATAATGCGGTAAACGAAGTGGACTTTTATAACAAAAATAAACTTAAAATCACTTGAATACCAAATAATTACAAAGGTTACACGCTAAATGTCAGCTTCATACCACGGCAAAGCGGATAGCATATTTCTCAATGCAATAGCCCGTAACATGTGTTGGATATAACCGATGCATCTTTTATAAGAATTTAGACTGCTACTATTCGTGTGCCTGATATAAGGCAGTGCTTTAACTCGTACCAATCGTCACCTGCCATGCATGCTATTGGCTACATGGGCCTTCGTCTGTTTACCGCCTATGGATGTCGACGCATTGGCACTCGTCCCTCCGCTACTGCTTCCACTGTTGCTGGCGATCGCGTTTCCACGGTCACGCTCCCGCTCTCGCTCACGCTCGCCTCGATGGTGATGATGATGTTGTTGATGGCGTCTTCCACCACGAAAGTGACGACGATTATGATGATGATGTTCGAAATTGTTGTTCGTTGGATCAGCACTTACTCTATGCGTCTGTTGCACTATTGGGGCAAAGTGTGCGCTGCCTGACGATTTAGAACAAGTAGGATCCTAAAAAAAAATTAAAATGATCAAAACAAATTAGTTTGAATTTTATTCAGTTTCGAAGAAAATATGTAAGTACCTATCATGACACAAAAATTTGAAGGTAAAACCGCTGAGAGCCCTGCCAGCAATTGGAAGATGTCGGTTCCTCGTCACTACTGGAAGTTATCAAAGCGATAGTAACTCATTTTACAAAATCAAAAAACATTTCTGTCGCTTTTCTATTTTCTTAAAAGGTGCTCCGACGATTTTTACTCTTTGAAGTTTTGAAAATTATTCCCGTAAAATTATTCATACTTTTATATTCTCAATTCTTTTTTGATTTTTCAATTAACGAGCAAGAAATCATATTCCATGGTGAAATTGTACCATTATTATTATTATTATTTATCATTTCACCATAATCATATTCGAATCAAGTAAATAATAATAATAAAATTACGTTTAATTTTAAACAGATGCGTTATTTGATTTCCTTTTTACTATAAAGTTTTAGAACTGCTTTTTAAAATGTTTATGTGGTTGGAATCCCATAAAATATTGGTGCGTTTGAGCTAGTAATCTCAGCCGAAAGCAGGATGAAAATAGCGTCACTCTGCGGCTATGGTTGCAAGCTCAAAAGTATCCCAAATTTCTCATTACGTTTTATCAAAAATTTAACCAACCCAAGAATCTTCTGTAACACTTCCGACTTTGACATTATCGCACAAGTTACTATTATTCCTATCGAAATAGTTCCTGATTGCAGTAT